GCCTTCGTTCATGTCGGGCGTGTCCCCCTACAAAGCGATTTTCGACGAAAAATAAAAAGTACAAATACCAAAAAAAATCAAAAACCATCAAAAAATAGTCCCCAGACTATTTTTGACTATTTCCCCATATCCTAAGATGGGGTTCTTGTTATTACTTGGACGCCTCCTACTCCTCCTTCTCCCTCCTCCTCATTTCTCCTCCCCTCCTGTCGGACTTACTCATACTCCCACTTGCTCATACACAGACTTACTCATACTACTCACACCCAGACGTACTCATACACAGACTCACTCATACCCAGACTTACTCATACACAGTATTAGTCATACTCAGACTTACTCATACCCAGACGTACACATACACAGACTTTCATACACAGACTTACTCATACACAGACTTACTCATACTCAGCACCCCTAAGGGGAGCCGCCAGGGGTGGTTGCACGGGCTCGTTCGCGGCCATTTTGTGGGGATGTCTCAGGCGGTTTGCCTGTTTCTGGGCCCAACATCCTTCGCTTGGAGAGCAGATTGTGAGGATGTCTCAGGCGGGGCGCTGGTTTCAGCACCCCTAAGGGGAGCCGCCAGGGGTGGTTGCACGGGCTCGTTCGCGGCCATTTTGTGGGGATGTCTCAGGCGGTTTGCTTGTTTCTGGGCCCAACATCCTTCGCTTGGAGAGCAGATTGTGAGGATGTCTCAGGCGGGGCGCTGGTTCCAGCACCCCTAAGGGGAGCCGCCAGGGGTGGTTGCACGGGCTCGTTCGCGGCCATTTTGTGGGGATGTCTCAGGCGGTTTGCTTGTTTCTGGGCCCAATTTGGAGGATGTCTCGAGCGAGGCGCTCATTTTTACCCCCCAGGTGGGCCAGATGTTGAGGATGTCTCGATCGGTTTGCTTGTTTTGGTGGCCAGGCTCGTGGGCGCAGATTCTTCTCAGGATGCCACAGGAGGCTCCAACATGCTCCAGGAGGCCCCAGGAGACCACATGAGGTCCCAGGAGGCATCAGGAGGCCACAGAAAGACTCAAGAGGCCACAGGATGTCCCAAGAGGCTCCAGGAGGCCCCAGGAAGCTCCAGAAGGCCTCAGGAAACCACAGGAGGCCCCAGGAGGCAACAGGAAGCGCCAGGAGGCCTCGGAAGGCAACAGGAGGCCCCGAGAGGCCCCAGGAGCAGGAGGCCTCAGAAGGCAACAGGAGTGGCTCCAATCCCATGTGTTTTACGTATGCTCCTATCGATTGGGCCTCACCTGGAGCACGAGTCTTTGATGTTTTGCGAATGTTTCTATAGATGGTCCTTCTCCTGTGTACACAATCCTAAATGTTTTTCTCATGTTCCTATGTATTGGGCCTCTCCTGGGGCACGAGTCCTTGGTGTTTTACGCGTGTTCCTATAGATTGCCCTTCTCCTGTGGCTCTAATCCGCAATGTTTTATGTACGTCTGTTGCTATAGATTGCGCCTCTCCTGGGGCACGAAACCTTCCTAGGAGGTCCCAGGAGGTCCCAAGAGGCTCCTGGAGACCCCAGGAAGCCCCAGTAGGTTTCAGGAGGCCCCAGGAGGCCCCAAGCTCATGCACAGAGACGCGCTCGTACTACTGAGGCTCATTCACACTCCAATTCATTCGCAGTTAGATTGATGTCCAGACCGTCACAACTGAAGCCCGTTAATATTCGAAAGCTCTTGCGCCTACACATTCACGGCGGACAGGTCCATGCGAGTAGATGCACATATGGGGAGCTCCACGCAGTGAATAATTTTAACTATGTTGGGGGTATTCTTTTTTTTCGTTGAAAATCCCCCTGCAGGGGGACAGGCCCGACTTAAGCCTTCGTATTAAAAAAGTAACTCTGGAGAAGCGGGACGGGCAACATCTTAGAAGGCCCGTTCCCAGGCGTGCAGCTTCGTGAAATTTCTCCATGCGGGGCCTCCCACATCACGACCCCTCCCCAGGGCCGGCTTGTCATCCCGAGCCGATTTTGTCGACAGCTCCGGGGCATAAGCGAGGGCCCCGGGAGGCCGACCTCTGCTCTGACCGCGAGCATGTCTGGGCTGACGCCCCCCGAGAACGCATTTTTCTTTCGCGGCGATGACGGGCGTCATGAGGGGGGGGGGGGGGCGGGGGACGCATACCGCAACACCACGCCCCCCGCCGTGCCAGACTGGTGCCAGACGCCCCCGGGACGCTCTGGGACGCTCCGCGGCAGCGCTGGGGACGCGCTGGGCGGGGAGGAGCGTCACGCCATGGGGGGACGGGGAGGGGGGGAGGGGAGGGGGAGGGGAGGGGAAGGGGGGAGGGCATAACGCGAGTGATGGCCCAGAAGGGGGTCAACAACAACAACAACAACAACAACAACAACAACAACAACAACAACAACAACAACAACAACAACAACAACAATTACTAGCACGTGGGGACACACCGTTCTCACCAGTGCCAGGGTTTTCATAGGAGGCGGGCAATACCCCCACTTTGTGGGGGGGGCCGGTTCAAGCTCTACCAAATTTCCAAACGACTCTTCGCCACCACCCACACCCAGCTTCCCGCCCTATGACGTTCGGACACTTCACTTCGTGGCATGCGGACGACCGTGGCTACTATTCAGGGCCCCGCGGCCGACGACGACGGCGTGCGCGCGCGAAGAAAAAACGAATGTGTCCCGCATGGTATTATTTGACAGGGATGATGGCCCTGGCAGGTGCGCAACCGTTGTTGCAGAAGTTCGAAAAAGTTGCTCGCAAAAGCCCGTTTGACAGAAATGATTAAAAAGTGTTGGGTTTCCTACGAATCCGCAAGAGCGCGCGGGATGAAAGTTTGACAATTTTTGTTTGAAAAACCATTTTTTTTTTTTTTTAAATGTTTTTATGTTAAAATCGCTACGAAAACTAAGGTTTTGGAAGGATTTCGTCTTGCGCGCGCGAATGTCCACTTTACCTTATTTGTTGCAAGGGATTCTTGAAGTTTGGTTATGTTAGAACAAGAAATGTCCACTTTAGCTTATTTTCTGCAAGGGAAAACCGATCGTAACAACACAACCGGATCCGGACCAACCCGTTTTGCCTGAGACTTCCTCACGAAAATGATGAAAACGTGGCTGCGGCCTAGGCGCGGCGGGGGGTCGTGCACCAGGGGCCCCAACAATAATTATTCTTAAGAAGAAATAATGTTCAACAACAACAACAACAACAACAACAACAACAACAACAACAACAACAACCACAACAACAATTACTAGCACGTGGGGACACTCCGTTCTCACCAGTGCCAGGGTTTTCATAGGAGGCGGGCAATACCCCCACTTTGTGGGGGGGCCGGTTCAAGCTCTACCAAATTTCCAAACGACTCTTCGCCACCACCCACACCCAGCTTCCCGCCCTATGACGTTCGGACACTTCACTTCGTGGCATGCGGACGACCGTGGCTACTATTCAGGGCCCCGCGGCCGACGACGACGGCGTGCGCGCGCGAAGAAAAAACGAATGTGTCCCGCATGGTATTATTTGACAGGGATGATGGCCCTGGCAGGTGCGCAACCGTTGTTGCAGAAGTTCGAAAAAGTTGCTCGCAAAAGCCCGTTTGACAGAAATGTTTAAAAAAGTGTTGGGTTTCCTACGAATCCGCAAGAGCGCGCGGGATGAGATTTTGACATTTTTTGTTGAAAAACCATTGGTTTTTTTATGTTTTTATGTTAAAATCGCTCCGAACACTAAGCTTTTGGAAGGATTTCGTCTTGCGCGCGCGAATGTCCACTTTACCTTATTTTTTGCAAGGGATTCTTGAAATTTGATTATATTAGAACAAGAAATGTCATTTTATAGTGTTTTTTGCAAGGGAAAGCGGGGGGAAACAAAACAACCGGATCTTGATCACATCGAATTACCTGAGGCTTCCTCACGAAAATGATGAAAATGTAGCTGCGGCCTAGGCGGCGCAGGGGGGCCGTGCACCAGGGGTCCCAACAATAATTATTCTTTAGAATTAATAATGTTCAACACAACAACAACACAACAACAACAATTACTAGCACGTGGGGACACTCCGTTCTCACCAGTGCCAGGGTTTTCATACGACGCCCGCCAATACCCCCACTTTGTGGGGGGGCCGGTTCAAGCTCTACCAATTTCCAAACGACTCTTCGCCACCACCCACACCCAGCTTCCCGCCCTATGACGTTCGGACACTTCACTTCGTGGCATGCGGACGACCGTGGCTACTACACTGGCGCATGGTTTCAATGACTTCTTGTGGTAACATCTTGTGGAAACTAGCTTAGTATACGACGACGACGATTTGAAGGGCCTACGGTGCGAAAAATGATTTTATGTTGCGCGGTGCTAAAATTCCTACGAAACCCAATGGTTTTTGAAGATTTCGGCGTGCGCACGGAAAGAAAAAACGAATGTGTCCCGCATGGTATTATTTGACAGGGATGATGGCCCTGGCAGGTGCGCAACCGTTGTTGGAGAAGTTCGAAGCACGTGAAGAAGTTGATCGCAAAAGCCCGTTTGACAGAAATGTTTAAAAAAGTTGGGTTTCCTGCAAATCCGCAAGAGCGCGCGGGATGAAATTGTGACACTTTTAAAAAAAAAAAAAAAAAAAAAAAAAAAAAAAAAAAAAAAAAAAAAAAAAAAAAAAAAAAAAAAAAAAAAAAAAACATTGGTTTTTTGATGTTTTTATGTTGAAATCGCTACGAACACTAAGGTTTTGGAAGGATTTCGTCTTGCGCGCGCGAATGTCCACTTTACCTTATTTTTTGCAAGGGATTCTTGAAGTTTGGTTATTTTAGAACAAGAAATTTCATTTTATAGTGTTTTTTGCAAGGGACAGCGGGGGGGAACAAAACAACCGGATCTTGATGACATCGTATTACCTGAGGCTTCCTCACGAAAATGATGAAAATGTAGCTGCGGCCTAGGCGCGGCGAGGGGGTCGCGCACCAGGGGTCCCAACAATAATTATTCTTTAGAATAAATAATGTTCAACAAAAAAACGAGCCTCCCCCTGCCACTCCGGCTCGCTCTCGTCCGAGCCCTCGCCGCCGCTGCGCTGCGCGGCCAGGTCGGCGCCCCCGGCCGGCTCCGCCGCCGCTCCGGGGGGCGGCGCCTCCTCGGCCATGGCCCGCAGGCGCGCCTCCGCCTCTCGGGGATCTCCTTAGGAGTAAGTCGGGCCTGTCCCTCCACAGGAGGAAAGTTCAAAAATAGTCAAAACATAGTCTGGGGACTGTTTTTGAGTATTTTTTACCTTTTGGGGGGTATTTTGGGGGTACTTTTTTTTTCGTCGAAAATCCCCCTGTAGGGGGACACGCCCGACTTAATCTTAGGAACAAGGAAAGGCGACACCAACACCAACAGGGCGAGGAGATGCGCGGAGGCAAGGGGGTCTCCCTAGTGGTGTGCTCCCCCCCTCTCGCTCGAGGCATCCCCAGTCTCTCGCTCGGGGAGGCATTGTGGACCTCCTCGCTGGAGGTGGGCCCCCTGGTGGTGTTGGCATCGCTTGTTCTCCCTCCGACTTCTGACCCGGGTAAATCCAGACCCGGGTCGGCCAGGTCGCGCAGGATCCTGCAAGATCCTGCAGGATCCTGCAGGATCCTGCACCCAAACCCGGGTCAGTGCGTCCCTGGCCCTGCAGGATCCTGCAAGATCCGGCGCTCTGGCTGACCCCCGTTTGCGTTGACCCCCGTCTCTTGCGTTAAGTCGGGCGTGACCCCCTACCAGGGGATTTTCGAACAAAAATAAAAAATACCTAAAAAATATTCCAAAACTGCCAAAAGATACTCAAAAATAGTCCCCAAAGTATTTTTTGACTATTTTTGAATTTTCCTCCTGTAGGGGGACAGGCCCGACTTCACTCTTGCGCCCCGAGCCTCCCGCATCGCCTCCGTGCCGGCGACGAAGGGGAGCTCCTGCTGGAGGGCCAGGCGCAGGGCGTGGACGCTGCTGGCCCGCCTCGCAAGGTGAGGCCAGGACGAGGCTTACGATGTTCCAGCCGACTGAAGCCTTGATCTAGGGGAACGAAAAGTGGCATAAACATAAAAACTCGGATCCCCCCTCCCTGGCGCGCGGAGCGCGCCGAGGGCGGCGCCAGAGGCGCCGCCGGGGGGCCCCAGCGCGGATCCGAGAAATCCGCGCGGACCTCCGAGTTTTTATGTTTATGTGACTGCTTGTTCCCCTGTGATCACCAGAAAGAACTTCGAGCACCATAAAAGTACCCACAAACTCGAGGATCTTCACGTGTCGGGCCTCGGGAGACACTGTTTCTACACCGTTTCGACACTCTTTCGACACTTCTCCGGGTGCTCGAAATTGTTTATGAGATATGGTCCTTGAGTACGATGAGAACAACATAAGACGAGGCTACAAAATCGGGGGAGGATAGGCCGAGAATCTCTGAGATCCGGCGGCTCGGGAGGATGCCTCGGGCGCCGCGGCCCTCTCAGAGCGTTCCAGAAGGCTCTGCGAGGGTTCCGGAAGGCTCTGGAACGGATTGGTGCACGTCATAGCCTTCGGTCGGGCATGTCCTCCTACAGGCGGACTTTGGGCGAACCATGTCAAGCGGTCAGAAAAGCTTCACACAGATCCAAAGATAGTCGAACAAGACTCGTCCCCTGACTACTTTTTGGACTGTGTTTGAGCATTCCTCCTGTGGAGGAACAGGCCCGACAGCATCCTCCTCCTCCTCCTCCTCCTCCTCCTCCTCCCCCTCCTCCCCCTCCTCCTCCTCCCCCTCCTCCTCCTCCTCCTCCTCCTCCTCCTCCTCCTCCTCCTCCTCCTCCCCGCCCGCGCCTCAGCCGCTCCAGCGCCAGGCGCTGCGCCCGCAGCTCCTCCAGCGCTCGCCGGCGCGGCTCCCGCTCGTGGAGCTCCGCCTCTCCCATCGCCTGCCAGCGCGGAGGCGGCGCGCCCGCGGGCGCCCCTGCCCTGACCTGCTGGGAGGAGGGCTAAGACAATAACCCCATGCCCACGATAATAATGTTACCCCCCCCCTTAAGTCGTTAGAGTTTTTTATCGTCGACCAATAAGAGTTTGGTCGGGGGCGCGGGGCGCGGAGGCCAAACTTCACTATCACCTCGGAACGTTATGTTGAGATAGCAAGATCAAGTTATGTTGAAATAGCAACATCAAGCGAAGCGATCACACTTTTTTCAGGATGTCTCAAGCGAAACCAAGTCGCGTTAGCACGCGACTTGGAAAACCGACCCAAAAGCTATCATATCGTCTTGGTGCTAGGCGGCTTCGCTCCGTGTTTTGGGTCTTTAGGCCTCCAGTGCTGAAAAATGGGGCCTCTGGGAGGCCAGGCTGCTGGTGCAGCTTTCCCGGACATGACCGGCAGGCGAGCCATGAGCAGCACGCTGCGACCGATGCGCGGAGACACGGGCTCCGCTTCCGGCAGCCAGCTGGCCCCGTCCGCCAGCCGCTGCAGCGTGGCCAGCGCGCGCGCGGCGTCGGCCGTCGCGTCGACCTGCGTCACCAGCTGGTTCGGGTGCAGCAACATCCACTCCCGCCCCTCCTCCTTTCTAGGAAGGAAACCTGCATACACATCAGCGTTCGGAGGCCCGCGCGGATGACGGGAAGCGCCCCTGGCGTGGACCGTTTCTTGGTGGTAAAAATTAATAATCGGGTACGCGCCGCACTTTGAAACTGCGCTGGCGGATGTTTGGAAAATGGCCGTTTCGCTCGAGGCATCCTCCAAAAATCGGCCCAAGAGGGGACTCCGCATCGACGTCGTGTTCCAATCGCTGTTGGAGTGTTTTCCAACGGCCCAAGGGAGGCCCAAAAGACGCCGCGGAGAGCCCCAGGAGCGCCCAAGAAGACCCCGAGAGACCCCCAAGAGCGCTCTAGGAGCCACCCAGACAGCTCACAAGAACCCCAAGACGGCCCAAGAAGGGCCAAGAAGGCCCCAAGAGACTCCCGGGAGCGTCCCAGGAGGCCCCCAGCGCCGAGACGGCCTAAGAAAGCTCCCACAGAACCCCACGACGCGCCCAGACAGCCCAAGAAAACCCCAGAAGCCCATAAGAGGACCCAAGGGGCCCCCAAGAAGCCCCCAACAGGCCCCAAGAGAACCCCGCACGGCGCCAGGAGCAACGTCTTGCTCCAATTGCCTCGTACTGTCCTCTGTCGTCGTCGTCGTCGTCGTCGTCGTCGTCATCATCGCCCTCCGCATTCCTCCTCGTACTCGCCCTCGTTCTCTTCGTCCTCGTCCTTGTGCTTCTCTTCCTCCTCGTTGTCCTCATGCTCCTCCTCGCTATCCTCACGTTCGCCACGTCGTCCTCGTCATCGACTCCTCGTTGTCCTCGCCTTCACTGTGTTCTTCGCCCAATACGCCCATTTGACTACAGCGGCGCTTCCCGTTCTTGTCCGATCAGGTTTCTTGGATCGGCGCCGGAGGCGCCGCCGGGGGGTCCCAGCGAAGGTCCAAGACATCTGCGCGGACCTCCGAAAGCTTCTGTTTGCGCCGATGCGCCTCCCTCGATCCTGGGCCCCCTGGCTCTGGCTGCCGGCGCCCCTCCTCTTCAGCACGCCCACGCCCTTCAGCGCGGCGCTCGCGCGCAGGCGCTGGGCGTCCTCCCGGGCGGCCACCACCAGCCAATCCCGGCTGCGCCGCGACACGTACCTGATCGGCTGGCAGCCCGGGTCGCCCGCGGCGCAGCGCTGGCACTGGCACTCGCGGACCTCCGCGGCGGGGCCCCCGAGGACTGCGAGCACCGAGCACAGGGCCACGCCCGACGCGCCAGCCCCCTCCCTCGCGTAGAACAGCGCGCGGCGCCCGCCCCACGGGCCCACCGGGCACAGGTGCAGGTGGGGGTCTGCGGCGGGGAAGTCCTCGGCGGCGGCGGCATCTGGCAGGGGGCCACCTGCGAACCCTACCCCTGCCCCCCCCCCACGATTTCTGAGGGGGAGGGTGGGGGGTTCACTTCGCTCGGGAGCTCCCGAGCGAAGTGAACCCCACCCTCCCCCTCGGAAATCGTAGGGGGGCAGGGGTAGGGTTCGCATGTGGCCCCCTATCTGGTGGGACCTCCAGGAACCCGAACATCTCGCTTAGGAAGAGCAGGAGGGTGGCCACCGGCACGGTCGACTCCGCGCGGCTGCCACCTGCCTCGGCCTGCTCGCCCGCGACCGTCGTCGAGGTCCCACCCCTCGGCAGGCCCCGGCTGGCCCAGACGAAGAGCCGCCGGAGCCAGTGGTGCGGGGCCTCGGCGCGGAGGGGAGGGCTCGTCTCGGGCGCGTGCTCCTGGTAGAAGCGCACGGCCATTCGCACCCAGGTCAGCGTCGGGTATCCCCCCTGCTTCATGCCCGGTATGCACCGCCTCTTGAGCCACACCTTGACGAGCCGCAGGAACGCCTTGTGCTCCGAGCCCGAGCTCCGAATCGCGTAGCTGAAGAGGAGCGCGTCGCGAACGGAGCCCATCTGGTTCACGACAACATCCACCGCCAGCCCGTTGAGCCCAAAGGCGATGAGCGGCACGTCGGCCTGCTCCAGGAAAGTCACCTCCTCGGACAGCCCGTCGCGCAGAAGCGCCTGCTGCAGCGACCTCAGCGTCGCGCATGCATCCCACTCCAGCGGGCAGCACAGCACAAGATCCAGATCGGACCCATCAACGTCGACGCCCAAGCCCACGCTCCCAGCCACCACAACGTGGCATTCTGCCCCGAGGTCATCGCATCGCGTCACGCAGTCCCTCACCCTCTCGAGCACTCCCGTCACCTGCGCAGGCAGCCGCGGTAGAGGGGACAGCAGCGAGGTGTCTCCGCTCTGCGGGCCCACTGCGCGAAGGAAGTCAAAGGGCAGCCCCAGCTCGCAGCTGTCCCGCAAGGTTTCGAACACGCGTCGGAACGCTCCTTTAGATTGCTGGTCCATGCTCTTGTCGGTCCACGGGTTGAAAGAGACCTCGTGCGCTGGCATGTACACTGCCCGCACGCAATCCGTCAGCCTCTCCAGCTCGTGGAACATGCGCTTGTTCCACCACATGAAAGCCCACAGCTGGATCCAACTACGGTGGTGACGAGATATCGGCACGTGGTGGTAACGGCAACTGGGCCGGAAGCAGCCCGCTGGCGTTTGCGCGGCCCAGCAGACGCTGAGCAGGTGGATAGGCCTCTCGACGCCGCAGCCCCCCGCGGGCACCTGCTGGAGGTAGCCCTCCAGCACCTCGCGCAGCTGGCGGATGCTCTCCACTGCCGAGGTGTGGTGGACGAAGACGCCTCCGCGAGCCTCCCATGCCTCTCGCAGGTCTCCCCGGTCATCAACCAGCACACAGTTCGGCCCACTGAACTTCTGCTTGTTCCGCGTGCCGCAGCAGAAGACCGCGACGTGCTCCCCCAGCTTCTGGTGGCACCACTGCTCCTTCTGCTTGGACGCCATCTGCCCTGCACGGCCGACTGGCAGTCCAGTCAGAATTGCAGGCGGGGGCACGATGTTCCAGTCGAGCCAACGCCACAGCTCTGGGCCATCGCTGGTCCAGGGCAGCGAGGCGAAGAAGTCGGGCTTCGCCTCGACTCTGCGCCACATCTCGGTTTCCTCCTCGTACGTGAGCTTCGTGACTGTGTGAGTGGGCATCTTCTCTGCGATCGGACCCCCTTCGGGGAAGAGCTCCAGGCAGCCCTTGTTGAAATCGGCAAGCACGCCGTCGAGGTCGCAGTAAACCTGCAGCGGCGCGTGCTGACCACCTTCGAGGAGGAGAAAGCGACGACGATGAAGACGACGAAGACGACGAGCTGGAGCCTCGAATTTCGGGGGCAGAACCAGGGGTGAGCATGATCGACAATCCAGCGCCCGCACAACGCGATCGCACCTGGCCAAAACCAAGATCCCTAGATCGGCCAAGGCCACGTCTGGGGCGACAGCAAGCTCTGCGCAGCCCCGAGGTGACCACTCAGAGTCTGGGTAACTGTGACCCGGCGGCGAATGTCGCACACTCTGAGTTGATGGCTCTTGGCCAAAGTTACTCGCTGCTGCCACGACGCGACGCCGCCCCCGAGCTGAGGAAATCAAGAGGTACCGATACCGCTACTCTCCGGACCTCTCCCGGGGTGCGTTCTGACCAGAACTTCGACGCGAATCCAGCCGTGGCGACGAGGGCCTCCCAGGAGGCCCAAAAAGGGAAAAGCGGGGGGAGGGTACCGGTATCGGTACCTTTCCTTCTCTGCGACGTGATGCCGCCCCCGAGCGCGGCTTCCTCGCTCGCTCCAGCATCGGGCGGCAAGACCCTGCCCGCGGGAGTGGCAGCGGCAGCCGGGGGAACGCGCCGCTCCCGGCCACAGCTCCGAGGCCCGAGAAGAGAGGCGGGAGCCCTCGCAGGCTCCCCGCTCTCGCCGCTCTGAGCGCTGCCTGCGTCGAGCAGCCGCACGCACCGCTGGCGGCGCGCAGAGGGAGGTACGGGGAGGGGAGAGGTTTCTTAGAAGGAGGCTGCTTCTTAGGAGGCGCGGGCCCTACATCTATAGACAAGGCCCGCGCCTTATAAGAAGCACAAGTGCTTCTAAGAAGCCATCGCCCCTCCACGCACCCCCCCCTGCGCGTGGCCGGCACCCGCGGAGGAGGGAGGTGAGCAAATGGAGGGACAGAACACGGCATAAACGTGAACTGTAGGAGTTCCGCGCGGACCTCCGAAAGCTTACGCTTGTGTAGTTTGTCCCTCCTCGAGAGGAGGAGGAGGAGGAGGAGGAGGGCGGAGAAGGAGGAGGGCGGAGGAGGAGGAGGGCGGAGGAGGAGGAGGGCGGAGGAGGGAGGAGGGCGGAGGAGGAGGGAGGCGGAGGAGGAGGACGAGGGAGGAGGTGGACGAGGGAGAGGTGGGAGGAGGGGGGCGGAGGAGGAGCGAGCCCCAACGACCCCCTGCGACCGCACGGGAGCCACCTCGCGGCCCCCTCCACCCCCCCCCCCCCCCGGGAGCCGCTGGCTCTCGCGGGGGGGGACTGCGCACGGGGCGACGGCAGCCTGCCTGCGCAGGGCCACCGGGGCGAGCCCGGCGGCGGCCGCGACGTGACCACGAGCCCGAATGGATCGACGATTCTGACGATACTGGCGGCTCCTGGACACTTCTGGCGACCCGGACGACTCTTAGGGGGCCAACTGCGAACCCTACCCCTACCCCCCACGATTTCTGAGGGGGAGGGGGAGGTTCATTTCACTCGGGAGCTCCCGAACGAAGTGAACCCCACCCCCCCACCCATCAGAAATCGTGGCGGGTAGGGGTAGGGTTCGCATGTGGCCCCCTAACTCTGGCGACTTGGTCGGTTCTGGCGACTCCGAGGGCGATTCCGACGACCACCACCACCAGCACCACGACGGGGCCACGACGCCGCTGCGCCTCGCCTGGCGCGACCGCCCCCGCCGGCCCGACGCCGCGGCCCGCTCCGACTCGGCTCGACGGCCGCGAGTGGCACGGGTCGGTCCGTGGCCGCGAGGGGGCCGCGGGGACAGAGGAGCTAAAAGCGGGAGGAGGAGGAGGAGGAGGAGGAGGAGGAGGAGGAGGAGGAGAGGAGGGAGGAGGAGGAGGAGGAGGAGGAGGAGGAGGAGGAGGAGGAGGAGGAGGAGGAGGAGGAGGAGGAGGAGGAGGAGGAGGAGGAGGAGGAGGAGGAGGAGGAGGAGGAGCACGAGCTTCATTTCTCGGAGGTCCGCGCTGACGTCTCGGCTCGGCGCTGGGCCCCCCCCCCTCCCTGGCGCGCGGGGGGCCGCGCCGGGGGCGGCCCCAGCGCCGATCCGGGAGGTCCGCGGGGGCGCGGGGAGAGCTCCGCGCAGTGCCGCTCGTGCCGCGGCTTGCTCTTCGAAGAGGCCCAGACATCCAACTGCTCTACAATTTGCTCGATGCGTGGGGCCTGGAGGTCCAGACCGCTCCTCGGGGGCCAGCTCTTTGGTCCTGGCTCGTCTCTTGGCGCTGCCGAGGCCCGGCGAGGGCCCCCGGAGGCCGAAAACGGCCAGAGACCGACTGCCCCAATTCCTTTGGAGCGTCGGATGATGGGCTTGTTTTCCACCACCACCACCACCACCACCACCACCATATGTTAGAGGGGGAGGGGATCCTCCTCCTCCTCCTCCACCTCCTCCTCGTCCTTCTCCTCCTCCTCCTCCTCCTCCTCCTCCTCCTCCTCCTCTCCTCCTCCTCCTCCTCCTCCTCCTCCTCCTCCTCCTCCTCCTCCTCCTCCTCCTCCTCCTCCTCCTCCTCGTCCTCCACCTCCTCCCCCCCTCCAGCTTATGGTGGTGCTGGTGGAAAGCAGGCCCATCAGTCGGATCTCAGGGGGAGGAGAGCCGCGAGGGCGCGGGCGGCGGCGGCGCACCGTCGCCCCCGCGCCCAGGCCACCCTGGCTCCGGCCGCGGGTAGGGCCCGCACAGGTGCGGGGCGTGCAGCGGGGGCTGGTAGGCGGGCACGCGCGGCGCCTGCGCCTGCGCCCCCGGCGGGAAGAGCATCCCCGCCGCGCCGCCGCGCCGCGGGGCACGCCCGGCGGGAGGAGGAGGGAGGGGGGAGAGGCGCGGGGGCCCAGTGACACACCGATAGAGATACACACAGATCCCAGGATTCCCCAGATGTCCCCACAGTTTCTGAGCGCTTGTCTCCCCCCCCCCTTTGCATATCTCCTATTTCCCCACTTTCTCCTGGGAGTCGACCATTACTGGTGTCTGTGTGCTTCTTTCCATCCTGGGGCGTCGGCGAATCTGCCCACGTTCGCCGGCGCCTCCCGGCGCCGGAGGCCCCCGGCGCCGGGGGCGCCAGTGGTGTCCAGGAAGGCGCCCGCGGGCGCAGGTCGAGACGAGGAGGAGGAGGAGGAGGAGGAGGAGGACGACGACGAGGAGGAGGAGGAGGAGGAGGAGGAGGTGCAGAGAGGCGGGGGCGCCAGACGAGCCCAGACTGCGGGCGTTACACGTGTTCGCCCGGGAGCCTCACCGAAGGAAGGCATGTACCATCGGCGCCCCTGGATACATACATGTATTGCTCCCCCCTGGGCTATTCGCCCCTGTCGTCGCCTCCAGTGGCTCCCGGGAGAGGGTCGTGATGAAGAGCCCGCCCTGGGGAAGAAAGCCGTGGCGAAAAGCCCGCCCCGGGAAAAGGTGACTCTGGGTTGTTCATAAGCGTGGGGGGGGGACCCACCCGACGGGGGTCAACCTCGCAGCGTCGTCGCCCCGCGACGGGGGTCGGAGCGCCTTCGGCGCGCGGTGGCTGCCCGTGACGGGGGTCCATGTGGGGCTGTCGGCGGGGGTGACGCCCCCCCGACGCTTATGAAGGAACTCGGAGTAGGGACTTCTGGGGGGGCCGCCGGATGTCTGGAACGCTGTGCGAGGAGGCGCTCTGATGACAGATCAGGAAACTCGGAGACCTGGCGGTCGGCAGGACGCACACCGGGCGCCGCGGCCGCTCCGAAGGATTTCCGGAGCGCTCTGAGAGCGCTCCGGGACTAGAATCAGAAACAACGGCATAAACACAAACTGTTGGCGCTCCGCGCGGATTTCTCGGATCTGCGCTGGACGCCCTCCGTGGCGCGCGGAGCGCGTTCTAGGGGCGGCGCCGGAGGCGCCGCCGGGCGGGCCCATGCGCGGATCCAAGAGATCCGCGCGGAGCGCCGACAGTTTATGCTCATGGCGTTTGTTTTTCTTCGAGGGACGCTGCTGGAGCGACATGTCCTCCTCCTGGGCCCGCCTGGGGGGGGAGGGGGGTGGGGCGGAAGCGGTGCCGAGTAGGGGGACGCCAGGCGGACACCAATGCCGACAGCTGGCCAGGCCCATCCTGGGCCCGGGGTGCGGCAAGCCCTCCGGCACCGAGCTTGGGCCAAGGATGGACCTGGCCAGGATCGGCATTGGCGTATGTCCACACGGGAGGGATGCGGGGAGGAAGGGAGGCAGGAGGGGAGGAAGGGAGGAGGCAGGAGGGAGGAGGGAGGGAACAAAAAGTCGAAACGGCTGCAGAAGGAGACCCTGCGAGCGGGCAAGGCGCGGCTGGGAGAAGGGGGCAGAGCGAGAGGGGCAGAAAGATGCTGGGAGAGGGGCCTCCTCCAGCACCAGCACCACCACAGAGCCTGAAGACTGAAGCCCTGGACTACCGCGAACAAAAAACTCCCCCCCACACTCCTCCTCCTCCTCCCCCTTCTCCGATCTGGCCAACGGCTCAGGCAGGCCCCGTTGCGTCACCTTCTGGCCCGCTGGCCTGGCACACGTGGGCACGTCGTGCACGCGCCGCCGCGGGCGGCCGGGCAGCGGAGAACGGGTCTGATCCACGTCCCGTGGCCCGAGGCGGAGCGAGGCTCCGCAAAAAGGCGCCAGGGCACCTCGAGCAGCGCTCTGGGAGCGCCCCGAACCGCGGACGCGGCAGCAGCTGCGGCGCGGCAGAAGATGCGGCGCGGCAGGCGCGGGAGTCCCCCGACCACGGGGCGCGGCTGCGGGCTCTGCCTGGCCAGCGGTGTGCGCAGGCTGCTGTGGCCGCCGGCCCGGCGGCGGCACCACGGGAAACGGCCCGCTGGCCACGGCTGTGGCAGTGGCCGTGGCGGTGCCACCGCTCGACACTATCCTGTGGTCCACCAGCAGCATTGCCTTGTGGGCAGCGGGGGCCGCGCTCAACGCGGCCACGGCACCCGCCAGTGGGTGGGTGCGGTCTTCGCGCTGCTGGCGGCGTGCGCCGTGGGCAGGAGATCCTCGGCCTGCTCAAGGGCACGGTATCTGAAACACACGCTGACCCGTGGACAGCAGCGCGCGAGACCCTCCAGATCGACGACACAGCCGACGGGGTGGCCGACCGGCCTCATGTCCCAAAATAGTCGGGCGCTGCTTGGCTGGAGCTCGTCTCGATCATCGACGGCACCAACGGGGTGGCCGACGAGCCTCGTGCCCCGATCTAGTCGGGTGCCGCTGGACAGAAGGCCATCTAGATCGCCGGCGGCGCCGATGGAGTGGCCGACCAGCCTCGCGTCACCGAATGGTCGGGCGCCCTTTCTTCACCGAAGGCTGGGAACGAAGAAGACCGAGTCGGAATCGCAACACCCCAGAACGACAAAACCTATGCGGAGCATGCCAGCTCGGCAGTGGAGGCTGTGCTCCGCACAGCGCCGACGACTCACGAGGCCGCTCGCGCGCAGGCGCGCCCGCCCAGACAGCGGCGAGCGGCAGGGAATCGGGCCGAGGCGACGGCGCCCAGCGCGATCCGACACAAGCCGCCGGGTGCTGCCGCGCTATGCTCCAAGTGGGAAGCTGTCCCTGACGAGTGGAGAGGCGGGTAATCGCGACCCCAGAGACAGGTCCTCCCCCTCCGCCTGCGAGGACGGCGACGACGACGACGACGACGACGACGACGACGACGACGACGACGACGACGGCAAAGACGACGACAACGACGACGACGACGACGACGACGACGACGACGACGACGACGACGAGACGACGACGACAACGACGGCGACGGCGACGACGGCGACGACGACGACGACGACGACGACGACGACGACGACGACGACGACGACGACTTCGATGGCGACGGCGACGGCGACGGCGGCGACGGCAACGGCAGCGGCGAGGACGGCACAGACGGCGAAGACGACATCGACAACAACCACGACGACGACGACGACGACGACGACGACGACGACGACGACGACGACGACGACGACGACGAGGACGACGAGGGAGGCGGCGGCGGCGGCGGCGGCGGCGACAGCAACGACGACGGCGACGGCGACGACGACGACGGCGACGACGACGACGACGACGACGACGACGACGACGACGGCAAAGACGACGACGGCGACGACGGCAAAGACGGCGAAGATGGCCAAGACGACGGGGGCATCGACGACGACAAATACGGCGAAGGCAACGGCTGCGACGACCGCGGCCGGGTGGCCGACCGTGCCGACGGCGTGGGCTGCGCCGCTGGCCACCGGCGACGACGGCGCTACCTCGGAAGGGGGGGGGGTCATCCGACCCTCTCCCTCCAGGAGGAGAGGGGAGCGAGGAGGGAGGAGGGAGGAGGGAGGAGGGAGGAGGGAGGAGGGAGAAGGAGAGGAGGAGGAGGAGGAGGGAGGGAGGAGGGAGGAGGGGAGGAGGAGGAGGAGGAGGGGAGGAGGAGGAGGAGGGGAGGAGGAGGAGGAGGAGTGGAGGAGGAGGAGGAGGAGGAGGAGGAGGAGGAGGGAGAGAGGAGCGAGGAGCGAGGGACGAGCAGTGACGGAGAGGTTTCGGAGGTGGCGCCTGGACAAAAGACTGTCAGTGGGGGGCCGTAAGGGCCTCTTGGCTCTTGGGGCTGTGGAGGGGCTCCTCCTCCTCCTCCTCCTCCTCCTCCTCCCCCTCCTCCTCCCTCCTCATCCTCCTCATCCCCCTCATCCTCAATTATTGCGACGTGGTCACTTGACCTTCCTCCTCATCATTCTTCGTCTCGTCTCCTCCTCCTCTGGGCGGAAGGGAAGCGGATGCTCAGACTTCGACCGTCGTCACTCTGCTCACGGCGCAACTTGTTTCATAAATTCGGGCCCTGGGGTCTGGCTGTGGGCCCGGAAACCCGCCCGGAACGACCCACGGCGAGAAAGCAGCCCTGGACGTGGGGGGCCCTGGAGCTTGGGACCAACGCCCTGAGACAGGCTGGACGTCGGACGTCAGTGCGGACGGAGTGGAGGGAGGAGGGGCGCCCTCAACTCACAGGCTCTGCCGCGAACACAGGGGGGATCCTGCAGGGTTCCGCCGGGGTTTTGGGGGGGACCTTGGTGGGATTCTCCCCCGTCCGCGGGGACACAGACGTCCGATGTCCTGATTCGTTCAACACTGGTTTTCCGAAGTCCCAACCCCTTCCCCACGGCCTGCGCTTCATCCTGAGTCGTGTCGTTGACGGTCCCAGTGCCCGAACATGGAGGTCTCCCAGATGGGGTCCGAATATGTGGGGTCAGAGAATCGCGCCAACTCGGGGGGATAGGGTCGCCGATGCATCGGCGACGTCGGCGATACATCGGCAACGTCGGCGTGGAGAAAATCGGGCTCCACATCGAACCGCATCGCGGATGCATCGGCGACGCGGCGCGATCTACCGACCCCGTCCGCTTCGACCCCAGCTGGGCCGCAACGGTCCGTCCTGCGTCGTCTCTTGGCGGCCCCGGGGCCCGCGTCCACTCCCCGGGGCCGGAAGCGGCGAGAGACCTCGGCCATGACACGTTCGAGACGTTGGGCGTCTGGGGAAGGAGGCGCGCCTTCCCCCCACGGGACGCACGGCGGCGGCGGCGGATGCCCGAGCCCTGCGGGCACTGCGAGCACATCACCGCGGCCACTCGCCCAGCGGGGCGCTTGCCCCCCCACCACATTAAACAACATATATATACACACATACAGTAATGCATGCATGCATGTATGCATACATCTATACATCTAAACATACATACATACATTACATACATACATACATACATACATACATACATGCATGCATGCATGCATGCATGCATGCATGCATGCATGCATACATACATACATACATACATACATACATGCATACATGCATACATACATACATATATA